CCTGTCTCCCCACTTGGAACCTGGGACTTCCCCATCTCTTCTAGAGCTAAGTTCCTTCACCGTCTGTCGTCTCTCATCCAGGACCAGAGGCTCTCTTAGGACTTCTCCCCTACCTCTCTTCCCAGGAAGTGTTCTTTCTCATCTTCTGGCAAGATGTGTAGTTGACTTTCCTCTGCTCCCGAGACTGCTGTTCCTGTGGTCTTTTCCTGGCACCTCCCATCTTCCCCATCAGCCTGCTTCCCAGAGCCACAATAATCCCACTGAGTCTGCGACGACTCTGTGCTGCTAATGCGGAGAGGTTCCATCATCTGGGTTACCTGCAAAACAGAGATTTATTGCTTCAAATTGTGAAGGCAAAAGGAAGAAGAAATAAGCAGCACAGATGCTATTTTTGCTTTCACTTATGAACGCCTTTCCATTTTTAGGAATCCTTGCAAAATCTTCTGATGAAGCCCTGCGTTATTATTACAGTGTCAGTTCACTGACATCTCTGTGCTTCAGGGTGAGCTGTGTTTTGACAAAGCAGCTGCCTGGTTGCAGTGCCAGCTTTAAGTGGGTGGAAGGGCTAGGTTTGGTACAGGAGCAAGTGAACTCAGGGCATCTGCTCCTCCCCCAGACCGTGTCTTGGGATGGTGGAGGCCCTGAAAACCGTAATGTTTCAGGAGGGCCTGAACTACACCACCCACTCTCCTGTCATCCAAAGAGCCCTACCTCTGAGAAGAACTGGAGAAGACTGTTGTCTTCACATGGCGTCTCTGCCTTTTCATAGTCTTCACTATCATCCTCCCAGAGAGGCTCACTGAGCTCGAGCTCGCAGTCTGCCTCTCGGCTGCTCTCCTCTAGTTTCCCCATGGCCATCTCTTCAGTATTCCTCCAGCTCCCCACATCCAGATCCAGGCTTGAATCCCAGCTGAGAAGAGACTGGAAGTTGCTGTACTTCTCTGACTCGCTGGGAGACTCCGTTTCAGACTCCCACCACACCCAGGCATGGCCCATCTGCAAACAAACAGAGAGAGACAGCAATTTCTTTGGACCCTGATCCAGAACTGCAAAGCCCAGCCCATTTTCTGACATACTGAGAGAGCCAAAGCACAGGGAGGGCTCTGAGGCGAGCAGCCTACACCTGAGCCCACATTTCACAGCATGTGGCAGGGCTGTCGCTCTGCAACACAAACTACCATTTCAGAGCAACTGAATTTCAGGTTTTCTGGTGCTTTTGCTGTGCACTCCCCCTGCTCAGGGGTCCGTGGGTTACCATGCACGGGGGATGCTGAGCTGGTTAGGAGCATGTGGCTTTGCTGGATGCTACACGTTAAAGGTGCTGAAGGCAGCCAGCAGCAAGCTCAAACCAAGTCATACCGGAGCTCCTCAGCCGCTCATAGCTGGGAACAAGTAGTGACTCCAAGGACAACTCACTGAAATTCCCTTTGCTGCCCCCTGAGAACTTTTTATACTGGAAATAACTTATTACAAACCCTACAGACACTTTGTTTTGAAAGTGACAGATGTGATTTAACTGGATGGTGGTACCTTGTGTACCTGAGCCAGAAGAATTATAACCATGCACAGTTACACACTGACAGGGGACAGTTCTACACATTTCAGAAAATAAAATTTATCGTTCTCTTAAGAAGGAAGAAACAATTCATTTAATCTCTGTTCATTAGTCCATGCCTAAGTGTCTTCTATTGCATGAGTCCACTATGATTTCTCTAAGTCTGGGGAACTGCTTCCAGAGTCACAGTAACAATAAAGTAACAATAAAGGTGGTTAGAAAAACCTGTACCTTGCCACTGAACTCAGCTGCCTAGACGCTGTACCTATGGAGAATTCTATGCATTAATTAGTAGTGTCTTTAGAGTTTTCAGTTAATTATGCACAACCTAATTTTTACAGAGTTTTGAACAAGCACATTTCTCCCTGGTTTCCTTTTGCATTCTCAGGACTGCTAGCACAGTTACAAATACACCTTACGGTGCATAACTGGGAGAAGTAAGGAATCTGTTGGGTTTGGGAAGAGAAAACTTGTTTGCTTAATTTATGAACTTCTATAAGTAGAAGAGCTAGGATCCCAAAGGCCGTCCTTCTGAAACCTCTTTCAAAGTCAGCTTCAGCGGAAGCAGATAGAATTTGATGAGGTAAGAGATAACGTTACCTGCTCTCAGCTTCCAGCTGCAGGAGTTGGGCAAACCGTGATTTCATCTGAAGAATAACCCCACACCTAAAGCACTTTCCTGCACCATCAGCAGAGCTGGCTGCACACGCAGAGCCAGCCACCGCAGCTCAGCTGAGGAGCAGAAAAGCCTTAGCCTAGGGTAATCTAATCACCTGTGATCATCCTTCTGTCCTCTGGTTGAGAGGGATAAGCGTTTTAAAATCAGGAAGCCCAGGGAACTTGGGCATAAGCATGGATTAGAAAGATCTCTGGCCTTATGTTCAGTCTAAACTAAATCCTGGAAGACTCAAGACGCCAGAGAGCAGAACAGCAGCATTAGTGGAAGACAAGTGGGATGAGTGAAATAATTACAGACTGCTTAGTTCCACACCAATTCTGTACAAAAAATAGAGGACAAAATGATACAGACTTGAACTTTTAATTAAGAACTGCCTGACAGTTCTTAATTATGTTGGCTATATAAGTCACCAGCAAGGAATCATTATAAAATTGAAAGTTTTAGTTTGCTTTGCAGAGATCAGACACTGCGCAACCCTCACTGATGTGAGAAAAAGCTGTTAGGAATAAAAAAGACAGCCTTTAAAAGGAACTTACATGTCAAAACAAGAAAAATGATAAAAGTCTGAACTCTAGTTAATGAAATGTAGAATCCACAAAAAAGTAGGCAAAAAAAAGAAAAAAAATGAAGAACAATTTGCTAAAGACATAAAAGCAAATAACAACAACAAACCTCATCAAAAAGATCAGAAGCAGAGAGCTGACAGATGATCAGTGGGGATGACGCATGATCAGTGCCAAACACCTCGGTGGAAAATTGGGCCAGTTGGAAAAACCAAATTAATCATCATTATCAGCAGTTGCCACAGACAAGATCACACAAGACTTTCTCTTGGGATGGGTCTGAGAGGCTGCTTCCAATTAAAATGTCAGTGGGGAGGTTTTAGAACAATTTGAGGGACAGAGTGAACCTTAGAACCAGATGGGATTCACTTGTGTGTCCTAAAGAAGCTTAAATGCAAAATGACCAAACCTATGCTGTGTAAGCTGTCATTTAAATTAGCCGCAGGATGAGAAAAAACCAGATGCGATTGTTACATCTGTCTGTAAAAGGGTGGGTGCTGGGAGACGCAGCACACGAAGCCTGAGCTCTGCGCTAGACAGATCAGAACAAAGTGTTAGGAAGAACAGAATTAGTAGCCAGAGCATGAGTTGATGAACTGGGAAAGAGGCAACGGGGCTCTGTAAAGGAAAATCATATTTTAGATTTTTAAAGATCTTAAACATCATTAAAGGCTATTAAAATGTTATGGGACAAGAGAAAAGGCTCTTTGAAGGAAAAATACCTGGTTAAGAGAAGAAACCAAGGGTAGGAACGAAGAGCAATGCTTTCCATAATGAAAGCAAGTTACTAGTGGGCATGATAAAGGTCCTCCCACGTGCTGCAACTCCAGTTGTTGAACACAGACAAAGACAGGGTAGATGTTACAGAGGAGATGGAGCCAAGCTCTTCTCAGCGGCCAACAGTGAAACGAGAGGAGGCAGTGACCACAAGCTGCACTGAAGGAAATTCAGACTGGATATAACGTAAATGTTTGCTTCGTGGGGGTGGGTAAGCACTTAAACAAGACGTCCAGAGGGGTTAGGGAATCTCCATCCTTGCAGGTGTTCAAAACTAGTTCAAAACTAGTCAAGGCTCAGAGCAACGCGATCTACCTCTGAAGCTGGCCCTGCTTTGAGCAGCAGGTTGGACTAGGTAAATGTTCAGAGGTCCCTTCCAACTTCAATTATTCCATAAAATACCAGAAACCAAAAGAAACTTGTAACTTTTTGTGCTGTAAACTTAACAACCTGTTATCTCTGGAAACTGACGCCATAAAAATTCAAATCAGAAATTTGTTCCCAATTTCAGTACTGAAGGAAAATTAACCAGTAAGCAAACCACAGGATTCTACATTTCTAGCATCAAATGTAGAGCAATTGTTGGTGGAAGTGCACCTCAGCCAAACACGCGACTCAACACAGCAGGCACAAACCATTTCAGCACAAAACTTGTGAAAATCAAGATAAGGTAATAATCTCTGGTCTTAATGGCAATGACTCAGTTTCCTGCAACTTCTGTGTCAGAAAGCTGCGCCCTGTACATGCTGCACAAAGGAGTGCAGACCACTCCCAGCAGCTGCAAGCATCAGGAAGGATAATGTTGTTTTGCTTTTTTCCCCTGAAAGGTCACGGGGGCGGAAAATATTCAAGTTTCATCTCATAGGTCATACGAGCAGAAAATAACAGAGTGACTTGAAAATTGTCAGGAGGAACTTAAAACTCAGTCAAGCATCCACGTTGCTGAGGGGAAGAACTGTAATTTCCAGTGGAGAGAAACAGTTCACAAGCTCCAGTGTGAAACCAGGCACCAGCACACCTACAGCTGCTGGAATGAGAGATTTTCACTGACTAGCGTATCCTTTCCGAACCTCTGGGGAATGAGCGTAAGGTACATTTCAGTACACTGGTCCCTCAAGGAAAGCTCCAACAGAACTGCAATATTTCACTTCTCATGGTTAGATTTCCTGTTTCATCACAGCAGCGCCATATCCTCACACACACTCAAGCAGGGAATCCTCCCCTCTGTCCAAGCTCTATGCAACATTCCCATGGGAACCGGAGATTGTCTCTAATGTCAAAGCCCTGCTGTGCTTTTGTGCTATAGGGGTAACTGGAAGAGAGTTAGACTTGCAGATATTCAAGACAGGTATGCACCCTTGTACGAAAACAGGATTCCTCACTGCAGAAAGCTGCGATGCTCAGTACACTGTACACTGGATTTGTTCCCAGACTTTAATATACATACACATTTACACATCACTAGTAAAAATCTGTACACTTCACATTACAGTACATACGAGCCACCAGCTGCTAGCTAACACCAGAACACTGATGAAGCCCAAGACAACTGCCCTAAAACAGGCAGGGGGCTAGTCTTCCCCTCTGGGGAAGTTTCTTTGGGTTACACGTTCCGACGAGACACTGCTTTCCAGAAGGGCAAGCAAAGAAGGTGGACCAGGTCCCAGAAATGGACCTGGAGCTTTTCTTCCTCCTCCGACAGCTGTTAGCAGCATCTTGCTTGCACTCCAGCTCTTGACGCAAGGTGCCGGGATCTTCTGTCTGCCTGCAGCGTCATTTCTTCATCTTCATGTCTGCCTCGATGGCACAGCGACGCCCTCTAGTGCCACCGTCCTGGTCGCAAGGCAAAGAAAAAGAGAGAGTTATGCATCCCTGAACACAATACACTCCCTCCAGCACTCGGGGAGGCAAGGCATTGTGCATCTGGTAATGAATTCTCATGCCTTCCAAACGCGAGAAAGGGAAGCTGTCCTAAGAAGGCCTGCCTCAGACCTACCTAAAATTCACTCTGGACACAGCACAGAGGTGCTGGGATTTGCAGCATCTCTGTGCACTGCTGGCAGCTGGGGCAGAGAGAGGCAACAAGGCTCTTGCCCAGACAGATTGCTTTTGGAGCCTGTACAGTGCAGGCTTTGTCCTAAGCGACAGATTCTAGCTTGGCTCTTAAGGTGGGAAGAGGAAACTGCTGACTAACCTACCTTATGAGCTGCTGATCCCTACGGGAAGTGCTCCTCCAGTTGAGTGACCCTGGCACTAGCTCCCTAGTTTCTCCGCACAGCTCCTTTCCAGGAGTAGAAGGCGAGCTGAGAGCTTCCTTTGATCCGCTGCCCTCTCCCTCTGGCTGACATGCTGACTCTCCTGGAGTACTCCTCTGTCTTTAGATATACATGAGAGAAAACAACTCTCCATCTTGCTCCCCTCTCTCCTTCCTGCAACGCAGAGACTTGGGGTTTCCCAGAGGCAGTATTTTTCCAGACACTTCCAGATCACCACAGGCACAGAGCAAGGTATTTCTGCAGAGCATCTTATTTCCTTTCTGGACCACGAATGATAAAGGAGTACACAGCTGACTCCTCACCCACCCACGGCCCTTTGTACTGTCTCGAATGTGCGGAAAGGGCAGCTGTGTAAGCATGAGAGATATAAGAACTATACTACTGCACCACTTCGTCTGTCTTCCCACTTCCATGGAAAGAAAGCAGGAGAGAAGTTGTAGAAAAAAGCAAAGGCAGATGACAAAATGAGAACACTTGGAACCAGAAGAAAAGACTGAAGCCCCTCCCACTCACCCATGCTGAGAATAAGGGATTGAGATGTTTCTTCTCTGATGATCATGGTTGTACAGCCCTTAAGTTAAACACACACCACTGCAATGCTAAGGATGCTGTGAGAGCGCAGCGACCACCCAGACAAGGAGCAGAGCACGCTGCCAGCAGTACCTGCTGGAGCCTTTCAATACTTACAAAGAGAGAGAGAAGGAAGGCAGGAGAGCCCATTGGGACACTGTCCTGTTAAAAGGCCAAACAGAAGGACTTATCAGATACCAGGTACAGAAATGCACACACCACACAGAAGCACTGAGCCCACACACGAGCATAGAGAAACATGTGCCCCACTCCCCTTCCCGCATGGCATCAGTCTTATGCAGCAGGAACATAAAAACGGACAAAAGAGCGATGCTGCGAGAGTCAGAGTGCTAGGAAAGGGATATTCCCTCCTCAGCCACGGCAAGGCCTGGTCTACCAAACAATTTCTGCACTGTGCAGTTGCCACTAGAACTAAGCAGGCAGTCCTTGCAGTCACAGCGTTGTGTGCACCAGCGGAGAGCACCTGAGATGACTCAATCAAGTTAGGATGTATTTTTACAGAAGAAAAGAACCAAACAAACCTACATTGCTATCAGTTCAGGTCAGTGCGGAAGTCAAAGGTTCTCTGATGTGTTTTACACAGCAAACCAGACTGGAGTGACTCCCTGGTTCTAAAAGCCTGACTAGAAGTGGAGAACACGGCAGAGGCTAGTCTTCCAGTGCTCTACATCTCCACCTTCCTGCCATGTCACACCTCTTCCAACACTCTGTTCACTTCCCTACAGTTTTCATCACCTCTTTTTAAAAACAGGGAACAGAACTATTGGGATTACAGAAAAAAATCATGAGGCCTGCCTCTGGGATGACATACAGCTCCAGAGCTGAAATCTAATCAACGGACATATTTAAAGAAAAACTTGTTCACATGAAGCTGCTGGAGTCACTGCAGTCTCCAAAACCATTCTGCCTGTCTTTGGTATGGGAACTTCATGCAGTATCTTGGGATTCTTCAAAAGATACCAAGTGCCCTTCCACAGGGCGCAGCATTCTCACCTTCTCCGATGCATCTTGCTTGCGAGTGGAGTCTCGCCCACGCAGGCTCTTTGCACTGATCCCTGACTCCGATGTTTGCATGATCAGTTGTGTGGCCAGAAATTGCTGCAAGAAAACCACTCTCTGTTAAGGTTCTCAGGCAAAACAAGCTCAGTGTGTGTCAGTCAACGATCAGAAACCACAGGCTGGGAATGACTGGGTCAGAGGCAGTTTCAGTTCCTTGTCTGCTGCTCAGAATAAGTTCCTCCATTTACCTCAGAAGCCACAAGTCCCAAGGAACTACAAAACCCCAGTTCAAACTCTGTTAGCCCAGCCAATTGGGACATTCTGCTTCACAAGAAATTTTAAATGGCATATATTCACAGGACAGTTTCATGTACACTTTACAGCGGCATAAACCAGAACAGCCACCGAAAGAAGCAATCGCGTCCCCTGTCATTCACCATTATTGTTGCTTGTTTCTGTTCCTGAACCACACCCTGGTTCTTGCTGGCCTAAGCACTTCCCCGAAGGAAATTAGATTTGAAATTGGTCTGGGCTGAACCTAAAAAACATTTTGCTGTGTTAGTTTTAACTTCTCCACAAACCAGTTCACCACAAACACCCGAGCTAGCGCAAAAGATGCAGGGAAAGATGGGACTACTTCATTCAAAGACACTGTGAGTGAAACAGTGATCTTACACCCAGAAGTCTTTCTGCTAACTATGGACCAAGGCAGATGCTCTGTCCTGCGCTGGCCTCAGCTCAGTACTTTACCTGGATCTGCTCCAGGACATCTCGCTGCATCTCCACAGCCATGTGGTACACATCATGGTCAGAGCTGTTGTACATAACGGCATTTTGAAACATCAGCATAATATCACGCTGGAACTCAGCTGTAGTTCGTATCAGCCCATTCTCAATGTTCTTTTTGATGGTAGATAAATCCATTGGCCTATGAAAGAAACGCAGA